TATATTTTGATTTGATAGTTTCATATTTGATTATTCTTACTACTAAATTTGTAAAATACCAATATTATGGTCTCAGATCTCGCCATGCAGGCCTAGAAAAAAATTTTGTTAAACTTTTTCCTTGGCCTTTCCGGGCGTTGCCACCACGCTCCGGCCAAAGTAAGCAGCAGCACCCCCCCAGATATTTATCCACCCCCCCCCCCGAACGAAAATATGAAAATCCGTCTCTGACTCAGAGGGAAAGAAGTATTATTTCGTGTAGTAGTGGGATGGATTCACATGGGGGTATTGGGGGAGGGGATTCTGTGTGAAATCCTTGGCAATTATCAAACAAAATAATAAAGTATTGGGTGTTTATGACCTCATGGACAACTTTGTTTTCAAAAGAAATTAACATGGTTGGCTCCTCATTGTTAGTTTAGCTACCCTCGTACCACATCAAGTTATATATGCATGAGGGAAAATAGGTTGTTTCAACTATTAATTCCACTTGCAATTGTTACCTACATACCATATGAAATTTTGGTTTCCAATTCAGGGATGGATTAATTAACATAGTTTTTTTTTAAGATTTTATATTATTAAGCTTTGTTAGTTCACAATAACTCCATCACGACTCAGCTTTTACTTTCAATATGATGATATTGAGTACGTACAATCGTGTATCATTGATAATATCAAAATATTGCCCAACCCTATTTACTGGTGATGAAGTGGTAATGCTGAACCTGAGGGGGGTGGGGGGTCAAGGTAAAACACAGAGGTTAAAATAAATCCATAACATGGAGGCCTCAGTGTTCAAAACTCCTAAACCTCAAATGCAGAGGACTAACCAAGGAGCTTGAGATCCCCATTGGCTAAATAATTTTCATTAAAAAAATTATTATTCAGCATGCATATTTCACATATTGCTATTTTAAGCAAAAGTGAAAAGTCTTACACATTTGGCAAAAACAAAGAGTAGCTTAACTCTTAAGACCAACATAAAATATATTCGTTTTTGGCAAAACGGTTAGACGAGGGCGATTCAGTTCATGTTTCCCCTGAGCAGGACTTCTTGTACGAGGTTGGACTTCTTGTTGACTTTATATTTGTTGACATGTTTATAATTGGCGTATATATTTATATAAAATAGCACGTGGAAATTATTCTGCAGAATTAAATAAAAATAATCCGTATTATAGAGCATTTACCCTTTTACAAAGTTGTAAGGTACAATCACTTTCATGAAACAGTATAAAACACGAAAACCTAATCAAAATCTCGCCTATATTATATTTTTACAGTCAAAGAGTCGGAGGCATATTGCTATAAAATGTCAACACTCACCATCATCGTCTTCAAGAGATAAATATTCCATTAATATCTCCAATTCCTCGCACGATTCAGACAAAACACTTCCCATGTACAGCAAAGGACCGCTACCGTCCAAAACATCCACGATTTCTTTCTTATTCGACGATTTTTTAGGTTTTCGAGCACATTTGCAAGTTTTCGAGTGTTTTTGCAAGTTTTCGAGTCACGATTTCACAGTCCCTCAAATCAGCGCTGCTCAAATTACGCGACCGCGCGTACGAATGAGGGACTGTGGAAGAGTCAGTCACATTCCTTCGTGAGGATTGCAGGCTCGGGAAACGAGATTGTGTCTAGGGGTAAATAACAAATAATCACACATGTACATGTCATCATGTTGTTTACATTGTTTTCTGGTTGAGAACTGTGTGTTGGTATATTGACTGGTCTCATGAGATATCCTGTTATGTGGACCCTCAACCACCATTGGAAAACATTGGTGGTTGAGGGTCCACAAAACAGGATGTCTCTTGAGGAGACCAATCGACTAATAAGTAATAATTATACCATCAATATATTTATTAACCAATTAAATTGCATTGTGCCTTACTCTGTTATTTTACTCTGTCTAATGATCTCTAATGCTATATGATTTTACTCATATGGCACTATAGTCATGGGGTCGGAGGGGATAGTACTGGAGAGTGGAGAATACATGATGATCATAATTATTTGAGTAAAATATTTGGTGTTAACCCTTTAAGTGGTCTAATAATGTAAGACAATTTTACTCATCAAGTAATGAGTGCTGGCTTACTCAATGGGTAAAAGAGTAGGAAGCATGATGATGGTGCATTGCAGCTGGACTTGTTAATCATTAACATGTCTTTTTCTTGTTTAGGAAAAGATTTAGACCTTGTTATGGGAAAATTGGATGCTGACAAGTATTTTTCCCAAGATCACATTTTTGGCAATGACAGCAACTACCACATTGCAGATGAAAAAGGATATTACAACCAGTCTCGGATTGATCAATCCAAAACATATTGAAATAAGCCCTGATCATCCCAATATCTTCTTCAGCTCTTTGCCAAGACCTAATGGAGGGGATGATAAGCTTCAAGTGGACACTTCAACCTATATTAACTCCTCTGATTGCAGAATTAAAAGTAAAACAGTTCAATTTCCCTCTGACATTAGTTTATGGCAACTTGCAAGTTATTGGAGAATGTTTTTTGTTTGCAAGCAATATGATGGGGCCTTTGCAATATGAACCAGTACGATCTAGCAAACATTCAGTTAACAGACTATTCACACAGTTACATGTGCAATATCCAGAACATGAACAAGAAAGGATTATACTGTACAGGATCTTGTAAGTGGTCAGTCCAAGTTAAGGCTACTATTTGTCACTGTGGCTTTAGGGATTGGTGTTGACGTGCATGACATCCGTAGGATTATTCATATTGGACTCCCTTATATAATTGAGGAGTATTTTCAAGAAGCTGGTAGATGTGGATGAGATGGACTTCCAGCATCTTCCACAATATACTACAACTCATCATCTTTTAACATTTCACCCCGCACGAAAGAGCTAATTGTAGCTGTGGCAGATAAATGCAAAAGGGAAATAATTCTGAATTACTTTGGTTACAAACTAGCAAATAGGATTAAACCAGAGCATACTTGCTGTGATTTTCATCAACAGAAATGTAGCTGTGATGACTGTGTTTTAAGTTCAGCTGCTGAAATGTTAGAAAATGCCAATTCTAGTGTATTGGACCCATCTATAAATATTTTAATTTGAAGAATTTGGCAAACAAGTTAATTAAAAATATATACAATTTTCCCAATAAATCTCTGTCATATATATCGTAGAGGCATAATGATGGTAATCACGGGTGCATTGGGGGGCACAATCCCCCCCCCCAATCTGCCTTATGACCACGTTTGGGAGATGCTTAATTCCGTTGAAAATGTAGGGGGGTGGGTAAAGTGTGCCAAACATAACATCTGACTTATACGACAACTTTGTCACAATACATTGAACATTTTAATGCAACAAATGCTACATAGGCTAACACATTTTAATATTTTTACAATGCCTTGTTCATATTCTTATGAGCTATATGGCCTATTCAGCTAGCAAATTTGATTGTATTTCTGGGGGTTGAAAGGTCTCAGATTTCATAATTTCCTGGGGGAGCATGCCCTCGAACCAGACATATTTTCAGATTTTGCACTGGAGGGGTGCCGAAAATCCAGGGGGAAGGTGAGCCAGAGGGTGTGTAGCACTAGCTGCCAAGCAAGTTTTACATACAATATTACAAATAAATTTGCATATTAAACCACTATTACCATTACATGTTCATCATTATATTGCAAAACATTTATTTATAACCCTGGAGGTTTATTTAAGCCACCTCACTAGTGTATACTTATATTGCCAATAACTTGGCAAACTTCAAAACTGTCTATATAAGTGAATTTCATCTTGAGACAGCTTAACTGTACACAAATCTTTTGAAGTTTTGCTTAATATTTCAACAGACTACATCTAAGTGATTCAACAAGATGATGCCATTGGGCAATTGCTCATTATGCCAAAAATACATTGTCTTGACTGTGCACAAGTTTTCACAAACACGGACAAAAAGATAGAACAAGACTTTTCCAGATCATATATTGATTCACTAGGATTTTACTTGAAAGACCATGCATACAGTATGTCTGTGTCTCTTGGGAGCAATCCATGTGCTGTTGTTTACCAAAGAATACTCTCACTGATACCAGCAGTTTTATTCAGAATAGCCAAATTTGATCTGGGGAACAAAAACAAATCAATATGTGAGCCTGGCCCTGCCATATTTGTTACAAAGCTATTGTTTCTAAGAAGCTTATAGTGTTTTTCTTCTTTGGAAATTAAATTGGAATGCAGTTCAATGGAAGCAATATTAAAATATTGCTAATATATTTATGAATTTGTACCATTGTAATACAATTATAGCACAAGTATGCAGACTACAAAAAATTATAATAAAAATTGCCAGTGTGAGATCATTATTTAGCAATTAAGAGGAAGTTGCTTATTGAGGAAAATAGTTCCAAAATATAACTTGTAAGGCATATAGTTTAGTATAAAAATAGGCAAATAGCTCGGTGTATTTTACAACACGAATGACAAATTTATAAAAAGTTTCAGGCCCTATTTTACTATTGTGAAAAAATATACGGTTTCTTTATATTTTCCATGTACAATTACAGAAGATAATTTACCTTAGCACTGCTAAAATTGCACTGAAATCGTCGCTGAAATCCAACTGAGTCAACTGACAATATTAACGCACTCCTAAACGGCAGCCATGTTGTTATAATATTATACGATTAATAATTAATTTTCGTTCTATTGCTACATTCCATTCCATATCAACGGCCAATCAGATTCCTCCCTGAAACGGATTATCCCAGAGCCTTCGGTTCCTTCCCAAGGATCGCAGGCTCGGGGAACGAGATTGGATGTTTGTATCATATGACCCTGGAAAGGCCAGAAATGGTTCGCAAGGTCAAATTGCACCTACACGCGTGAGTTTGACGTCATACCGGCCAACAGGAGCTTCTTATTGGCCAATTATTGCGCAATGTTCGCAAGTGCGAGTAAAACGTACTAAAACCCGATACCTTGAAAAATTCAAAATAAATATTTCTAGTCGGCGTATACATACCAAACTTTCTACACGAAAGCGCTTGGATACAAAGAGTATTTTACACATATAGCCGTTCAGAAAATGACGAAAAGTTCAAGAGATATTCAAGATCTTGTAGATATAAAATCTAGAATCTTTGGCCAAGCGGTGAGTAAATATATGATTGTTTCGGTTTGTGTAATGCTCTGACGGCACTTGACCCCCCGTTCGAAAGGTTATTTTATTAGGATTTCAATGGTGGCTTTTATTTACAAGGGGGGTAAATACTCGCCGAGATATTTATATTAGAAAAATTGTGTCGTAATCTGATGCGAAAGGGGGTGGTCGAGAAAGAGTAAATTAATTAAATTAACCAAGCGTAAGTTTTCCTTAATTGTCTGGGTACGAGATTTGTACTATTCACCTCAACTTCCGTGAATTATTGTTAAATATATCATGCGTAAGCCGAATGCAATAATTGCTTTATTACACATTTAATTTAAAAAAACAAGCGACAAAAAAGACAAGATTGGCTGCTATTTGATAAGAATTTACAGCTAGTAATATGAACGGTTCCTGATTTTAAACAATAATATGATGTGATTTTATTAAAGAAGCAAATCTACTACAAGTCATTTTATTTTGGCTTTTAAAATTTTGCGGTCTTTTCAAGTGCACCGATTTACACATAAATTTTCTTGGCAGGCTTCTTTGTCTTGCTTGGAAAAGATATAAATTAATTATATGTGATTTAATAAGAATCGTTAATTTCCAAAATTGTAGTTACAACTGAATTTCTTTGGAATTACATAGTATGCAAATAAAATATTTGGCATATGCTATATTTAAAAGTAAAAATATTATGTAATGAGATAAAAAGTACTATAACAATAGAGAGTTTAATTGTTATTATGAACACGAGCAGCTGCAGGGACGAAACTGTTTGAAAAACGTTCAGTTCTACACCTAAACACTAGCAGCTTTGGATGAGTCATCAAATCGTATGTTTGGAGATAATAATAATAATAATAAATGGGTGAGTAATATATTGGAAAAAAAACCGATTGCAAAGTACAGTTCTACGTTCGTAAAGGGTCGTTAATTCGACATAGTCAACACCTGGGCTGTAATATTACACCTGCATGACAAGCATATTCAACAATAGATCGAATATGGGTACAGTAAACTGATATCAAGAAGTCAACAGGTAAAGCATTTCTCTGATAAGGAGGCGCAAACGATACAAACGTTTCGCAGCTTTCTTACAAATGTAATCAATATGGCCATTTCACTTGAGGTCGTCTGAATTATATCACAACGCTCAACAATTTTGCTTCGGAAACTACGTCGACATCTTGATCATGGATAGTAATGGGAGCGTGAGATGGGGTCTAAGCCGTTTGTTGTGACCTCGAAAAGTGCCTAGAAAACGATTTTTATTAAGCATGTCTTGGAACTGAAATATTTTTATGGGAACTAACACTTTCGAACACGCTGAGTTAAAATCCGAAAATTTCGCGCTCCCTAGACCCGCAGTTTTCTCACAAACTGCTATTTTATCTCAGTTCGCTAATTTCACAACAAATTTTTTCATTGTTCAACGACACGGATGGATGAAGACACACGATTGCATAACTCAAAATGACTAATTCCTATGAACCAGTCTCTACATTGAACAAAAGACCGGTTTTGCTCGAATTATTTTGAGTTATGTAATTTTAAGCGTGTTTGACGTAAACAACATATCTTGTCTACAACTTTGGGAAGGTACCGATATCGCTTTGTAAAATCCTCAGTTCTGGCTGTTTCTCTATAAAATCACAAGGACGTCAATGCTAAGTCGTTGGGCTATATCTCTGGGATTAGAAATAATTCCTTACGTGCGATCAAAATGTTTTATACCGCGATGTAAAACGGTAATCTTATGGAATGAGTCAGCATTTCCATTTCCAACACAGTTTCTGAGATGTAATTCAAGAGGTAACTTATCATTGCATTTGAACTATTATATCAGTTGGTGTTATTCTGTGCGATAAGCGAATATTATTGGAAAGAGGGCTGCCATATACCTTGAAATCACCAAATAAACAGCTTTTGCACAGATTTCTCCACGTCGTCGTACGTTTACAGAGCAAATTTTACACCTTGGCACTGGTCTTTGTTTTTGATATGAACATTTATTCCCCTAGTCTAAAGTTATTTAAGATTGGTCCTGTCGTAAGTCTTCAGTCTACTAGCAACCAGTCGACAATATTTCACTTTAGTGTTGTCTTTGCCGTTACGTTGGCTTCGCATAAATACAAGAAACTCCTCCAAGTATCATGTACCTTCATGTAGGACAAATATCAGACAATTTTCGGTGCGCTTTCAAGGTCCAAAATTTTTCAACACTCTTCCTCATGATCTGGTTGACATTGTGTCTTCTATTTTATTTAAGAAAAGTCTAAAACAGTATTTGTGTTCAATTTATTAATAATTATGATGTAAAATATTAGTCTGCAAGCTGAAGCACGTCTGCATTTCATAATTTATTAGGCCTAATTGTGTTTTTTATATATATGGTGTACATTTAAAGGGAGCCT